AGTTGGGAGTGAGAATGGGTTGTATTATAATATGCTGATCTAAAAGGAACGAGTAACTACAAGCTTCCTAGAAATGTAGTGGAGTAAAAAGTACAATATTTGTCTTTGAAATGTAGTGGTGTAAAAGTAAAAAGTTCCCAAATAAATAAATACTCAAGTAAAGTAAAGATACTCAAAAAATGTACTTAATTACAGTAATAAAGTAAAAGTACTTTGTTACTGTCCACCACTGGCAACAACAACAACAACAACCAAGACAGTACTTTCTACACAGCAAAAATGCCAGTGTTAATTTAACACCCACAGTGTTAATTTCAACACCAACAAAGTGTCTGTGTGTCGACACTCGCTGGTGTTAAAATAACATTTGTGAAAGTGTTAAATTTTAACACCCATTTTTTTGTTAATTTAACACCAACCAGTGTTTAATATTCAACAACTCTTGGTGCCACATTAACATAAAAATAGTGTTTGTGTTAAAATATAGTGTTAAAAGTAAYACCAACCAGTGTTAAATATTCAACAATACAGGGTGTCATTTTAACAATTCAACAGTGTTAAAATAAAGTGTTAAAAGTATCACCAGTGTATTATAGAGATGTGACGTTCGAGAACGATCCGAATCTTTTGAACGGCTCTTTACAACGAACGATAGGAGCTGAATCGCGGGCAGTAACGAGTCATTTGTAGTTTTATTTATTTTGTTCCTCATATAATCTTTATTTTTTTCATACTTAAATCATTCCCGCTTTGCTTTTTCACGGAAAACAGGCAGAGTTGTGGAGTACAGAAGCTCACGGTGAAAGTGGGGAGGGGGGTTTCCGCTTGACAAACACAGGGTTCCACCCACGTAACGGGATTACATCATTACATTTGTCTACGTGATGATGTATTTACCTACGTGATGACGTAACTTGTTCAAAATCGAACAGCTCTTTTAAATGGCTCAATGAAACAAACGGCTTCCCAAGATCCAGATCCCTTCATAGAGCCATTTGTCCCATCTCTGGTGAATTATTATTAACAAAGGAAAAAACTCCAGACTCCACAAGGTATTGTTGAGTTCTTTTCAGTTCATCTGAGGCTGTCAGCGAGCTGGATGTTCCCCGCTGGACCCTCTTCGTCTCCCCTCGTCTGGTGGCTGCTGCTTGCTGCTCCTCTGGGTTGATGAAAATCAGA